AAGACTTACAAAAGACTAATTTAAGACATTTTAAGACCAATTAAGGCCTTAGCTTTATTTTTTTGAATTCAATGCCTTTTAAGACTTTTTAAGGACCCGCTGGAACCCTGAGTGGGTAAAAAGTAGTTTGAATCTATTTTGAGGTGAGAAAGTCCATCTTCTGTGCAATCAGTTCATCCAGATCACCATCCTGCCTTCAATTATTATTTCTGTCGGAGCCGCTCAGACCCCTGTACACCGGCGGAGCTCTGTCATTAAAGGAATCCCGTTCAACAGCAGCCTCTGGATGGAAGGCGTATTTTTCATGTACGTAATCCAAACCGCAGGTACAAGGATAATAAAAGCGAACATGTTTTGCCAGCAGATTTTGGCATTTCTCCTACTGCACCTTTAAAGAAATGTCTACTTATCTTTAGATCCAGTTTGCATTTAGGGAATGTTCAGGCAACATAATCTAAATACTAAAGATGGATCCTGTGTTAATTGGAAGCTGAGGTTAGTCTTTAGTTTCATCTTACCTTTCGGTAACTGATCGAACTGATCACAGGCAGACCAAACTCCTCCAGTGGATGTCAGCTGTTCCCGGCTCAGGCTGCAGAGAGAAGTTTTATTGACATTGAATAATTGTACATATATATATATATATATATACTGCATCCCAGACAATCTGGGATTGTGTCAACATGATGCATCTGCTAAAAAAAATGTCTCATCTTTTGCGGTTTATCATTGAAATAATTAAGAATTTTGGAGCAGCCTAAAAGCTGTTCCGTTTTTATTTTAAATTTCTTGTTGTGTCATCCTTTTCCACTCATTTATCACTCAACTTATCTGAATTAAAGTTAGTTTCAAATTGCTTCTTAGTTTATTTACCGTTTTTACAGTACTTATTATTTTAATATCATGATTTAAAATTAGTGTTGCATCGATACAGATACCAGCATCGACGGGGCCCGATCCAGCACTAAAACGATCATATCGGTATCAGCGAGTACCAACAAACACTGATACCATTTAAAGAGCCAAAAATTTCTTCAACTATTGTCACCCATTCCAGGTAGGCAATAAAAAGCTCTACTGGATTCTCTTTGTATTAATTTTTTTTTCCTGCTTCACAAAGGTAGGCAGCAGCTTGACAAAGCCATGATGGAAATTATTTTACATCCAAGTAGTATGCAGTTGTTCAAATATACACACATCAATTTCAAACAGATGGTATCGGCCAATACTGCACAGCCAGGTATCGGGGCCAAAAGAATAAACCAGGCTTCAGGCGCCAATACGAATCATAGTTCCTCCGACCTGCTGGACGAGTTCATTCAGAGAAATCTGCTTCATGAATCCAGCAGAAAGAAAATGATGCAAACAGCCTTCCTCACTAAACAGCTGCCAAGAGCAGAGCAGACGGAGCTCCTTTAACCCCCCATTGTCTGTGAGAGCGAGGTGAGCACCTTGGCAGTGGTGAGCTGAGTAGGACCTCCAGAAGCTGCGTGACGCCCTCCAGCACCTCCACAGTGGCGTCTCTGACCTGTCGCCGCAGCGTCACACCTGAGAGACAGAGAGAAGTCCACCTCCATCGCTCAGATTGACTTTACTGCGCTAGAATGAGTCAGATTATCTTGGGTTTAGGAGTCACCTTGGCTCTTGGGTAGCCAGTAGAATATGGTGGACAGCGTCAGGGTGCTCTTCAACAGAGACTCTAAAAGCTTTTCTCCATCCTGCAACACATAAAAAACTTCAATCCAGTTCAGGACAGAAACAAACATGAGGTTTTCACAGAACATTTAGATGCTAAACGCGCTGCTGAAGCTGTTGCCACATGCGGCTGCTTACCGCCCCCCCTTAGGGCTCCATGGAGCTTTTTCAAAAATTATGAAATCATTTTTTTTGTTTGCTTAATTTAAACATGGTGTTCAGGAGTTCAGACCAACATTCATTGTGTTTTCTAATGCTGGAAACATTCTAAATAATAAATGTAAACGTTTCTTGCAACGAAAATTTGCGTTGTAGCCATAGAGATCCGTGGTTGTA